AAGCAAAAGCTATGACAATGTTCGTATGTAAGATCGTATTAGCAATTTTGCCGGAAAGCGCCCGTATAATCTTGTCCGAATAAGTACTTACAACAGTGCCGTGAATAGGGGTCATTCGTTCCTCCCGATTCCCCCAACTAAGAGAAGACACTTTGATGTTCTCATTCCCAATTCCATTCTGATTTCGAGGCGAAATATGTGGCTTAGAAGTTCTATCTATCTGAGGTGCTTTACGATCTCCCAACTAATGGAATTATGTAATTATGCGATTGCTATTTTAAATAGATAACAAAAAAGAACGAATTGATTATAAGATTGTAGCGCGGAATTCTTCATACCTGCAACAGATTTGGACTCGAATAAGAACGCTCCAACCCGGTGTTAATGGATGATCCATCCGCCTTCAAGGGTTCCTTGTAAACGTCACTGTCATTTTTCAATATTTCCTTGTGCTCTCTTTGCAAAAAATCTCTATAATCATACAATAATATGAATTAAAACAAAAAAATACATTATATAATGTAATTTTAATACATGATACTTTAATACAAGCTATCGATAAAAAAGGTACCTTAATAAGTTATTAATAAAATACTAAGTTAAATATAATAAAATTCACTTATTTAATAATTTTGTTTTTTTACAGTTTCTACAAATGGTAAATAGATAATCGATTGCGTGTCTGTCCTTACGCTTAAGACCTGGAAATAGTCTGTAATTCGTCATCCATTGTTATCGTCTTCGCTTTTAAAGATTTTTAGCCATAAATTTTAAAATTTTTGGAGTGAAAACTTGAATGACTTTCAGCTAATATATATTATGGACATAGTGCTTTGAATATTATGTTTTTATTATTATGAATATTATGTTTTCTAAATTATTGTTTATTGCACCGAAGAATTAATTTATCGCGAAATTTTTTATTAAATAACAATAAAAAGTATTGAAAAATCAAATATTAATAAAAATGTTTTAATTATTAATAAAAGTATTAATAAAAACTACCCAACTCAAAATTTTTGATACATTAAAATACGAAAATGCATTCGCGCAATATACAAGCGATTATAACTATAATCAACTGCTTGCTAACCTAAAAGTTCCTAATATAATAGATACAAAAATGTAATCACTTATCGCATTACCATAATTTATATATTTTTTCTATTATTCTTAATACATTGAGTGCCAAATTAACTCATATAGTTAGTGATTTACATATAAATGCCAAAAATTAGATCTTCTGAAGAAAAAAATAAAAACTTCATTATAAATTTTCTGATAAAAAAATTAATAATAAATAATTAATATATTAAAATAACAAAAATGATATTATGTAGTCAATGCATTAAAATATATTAGAACTTTCATATAACATTAATAAAAAAAAAAATATATATATATATATAAAAAATATATTTACTCCTGTAGCTTTTTTCTTTTTGTTTCAATGTCTCTGATTTTGTTTTGTTGCAAAGAGAGATTAAAATCAAGATTCGTCTTCTCACGGTCGTCAGTGGGATTAAATTTAATTGCATCCGTTTCCTTTATATATGTCTTAAACTCATTTTCAATTTTTAGGTACATTTTATGCTGTAATAAATGAAAAATATTTAATATTAAATTTATCATAATTTACAGCTTTTGTTCACTGCGAGCAAATTATAAAAAAGTAAATAAACAAGTACCATATCCTCTAATTTAACTTTCAGAGACTTTATTTCTGTTCGTAGATATTTCTCATCACTGGGACTGTACTTGTTCTCACGTTGCGAATAAAGCTCATATTCATGGGTCAACAACTCATTAGCAAGCTTGGTTTTCGATTTTGCAAGTTCATTTAACTCTTTCATAAACCTTAATACTTCTTTACATCGTGGATCGTATGTCTTCAAGGCGGTCGGTTTACTGCTACGATCAATCACCGGTTTCGCGCTGACTTCGTTTTGTGGCACTTTACTTGATAATATCTTAGAATGAGCTAATACTGGACTTTCTGGACTTTCCAATCGTTTCCCATTTACACTGTCACTCTGAGACGGTTGTTTATCGTTAATTGATATTGTTACATGACTAATGAAATTCTTGGATTTGGTATCATTACTATTCGACCTAGCATGTATAGATATCGCTGATTTGTTATCACCATGATCCATTTCCATGTCGACACCATTATTAGAGCCGATCGCATTATTCAATTTGTTCTTCGTTTCTTGCTCTTCTTCTTTTTTCAAGATTTCATCTTCCGAGTCAGAACACGCCCAAGAAGGATATTCAAACGTATCGAGAATCTCATCAAGTGCATCAATCTTAAACTCAGGTATTTCGATATTGGGATTCGTTGTAAATGCTGGATACCGCTCCCACCATTCCTGGTATCCTCCGTTTAGAATCTTAATCTTTTTATATTTTATACCAGGATCCCAATTCTCAAAAATATTTTTTAATAGATTTATATGAGTACACGGTGTCAAAGTTTCTGGTGTAGTATTCCAATCTAGTAAGACTAGAATATCCGTGTGTTGTGCCGATCGATTAACAAATAAGTCATAACAATGCTTATCATTTGCGAAATATTTTTCAAAGTGAGTGCCTAGCAACCTGAAAGCAAAAATGCATCATAAAAAATTAATATAAATAAAGCTATAATAAAACTGCAAAAAAATATATAATCTCATATATAAGTAACATAAATATATAATAAATATAATAAATAATAAAAAATATGCAATCTATATATAAATAATATAGATTGCATGAAAATGTCTCATTTACCCTTTTTTAATTTCAGACTGTGGAATGTTAATACATCTATCGGACGATATCCTGGAATTTTCATAATAATTCTTCTGCCTAGTATCAATGATCAAATATCTGGCACGTATCTTTTGTATTAGATTATACAATTTATCACATGATATAAAGTTGTCATTATCGCTACTTAAATTTATATCTTCAGCTGGTATTTCTGGTAACTTCAAGCCAATATCACTATTTGGCGCCTTGGATTCATCCATTTCTACCTCCATTAGTTCCACCTTATCATTGCACTTCTTCAAATTAAGCTCATAACGTACCTCTAACTTTTGCTTCAAGTCTGCAAGTATGTTTTTCACTTCATTTATCTAGAATATAAACATTCATGTATTCCATATTATTTATACAGGAAAATGTCAGGTTGGTTATTTTAGAAACACTATTTCTTACCTGATCAACAGTCATGCTCGTAGCATAGGCCGACTTGCCGTCCTTGTTATGAATTTTTCTCAACCACTCGACCGAATTCAGCCACCTCTTCAAAAAGATGTATGCCGTCTCATCGTCTCCATCCTTTTTTGCCGAATCAGAACTTTCTCGCATAGCGGGGAGCCTCTGATACACGCTGCGCGGTTCCTTATCTTTGTAATTGATCTTAGCCTTTTGCACGAGGTCATTAATGCAATTAAACTTCAAATTTGACATGTTGCCAGCCGTCGTGATTCTTTACTTCGATTCTCAACGTAAAATCAGAGAACCATCCGGCATCAGGTGCAATGTACGCAATACAACTCAGCTGTCAGTCAAAGAATAAATGTTAATCGTCTAATTTACTTTGGACCGCGACATAGCAATCCGTAACGATTTGGATGGAGACAGAATATCGCTCGACGATGCTCGGCGACGACGCAAGGTCGCGCGAGATGCTATCGATCACCACTACGTCGTCGTCACGTCATCAGGCGAAACCTTTCGCGATGTCTACTAAAAACACAAATTCTAGTCCTCCCTATGCGAATTCGCACTCCGAATTGCTTCAAAAGTACGAACGACTCCGAAATGAAAAATCTCTCCACGGCGCTATCCTACGATTCGCCACAATTCATTGCAGTTCAAAATACGCTCAGGAATTGTAGATGTCAGTCGTGCCGAGGTTATTTTAAAATCACTAGATTAAAGTATTGCAAGACGAAAAAGGCCGGCTAATCAATTTCGATTAAACTAATTAGACGATTGTTACATTGAAACTGATCAATCGCATTTGTTATTCAATAGAATTGACCAATCACAGTTGACACTTAAGCTGCTTACACATGCAGCGTAACTCGCGTAAGCGTAACTTGCGTTAACCAATCAAATCGTATCAGCTGCTACGCATTATTCTAGTTGAAATGATTTGATTGGCTGACGCAAGTTAGGGGCTCCGCGCAATAAAAGGAACAGAGAACAGAGAACAGAAAATAAGAATTTTAATCTATCAGAAACTGTGTATTCTACAATACGTGATTTCTAATAGGTTAAAATTCTTATTTCCTGATCTCTGTTCCCTATTCCTTTTATTGTGCGGAGGCCCTCATAGGAAGAGAGTGGCAAACTGCATCATGTGACCCGATCTCTTCCTCGATTGAATCTGGTAATCAAGCTCCGTAGAGCCATGGTAAAGGTATGCCGTTTAGGTATGACTACAAAAGTAGAACGCTTGTCACCTTGTGCTGCTTTTCTCTCCAATTTTACAATTGATAAGATTTTTGTAAGTGATACATATTATTTAATATACATATTATATTAATCTTGGAAATATATACCTTCCTCTATTGTAAATATATACATGAAATAAAAACGAATTTTTATATTTCTGCTGAATGAAAACCGCTTTATCACACGCGGTAATTTTACCCTTTCAAACCGTTTTTCCACTGCAATAGACATTTTCTAAATGAATCTTTTTATGTAACCTATATGTATACAAAGTTTCATTAAAATTAGAATTTATCACTTCGTGTGGTTCCCTTGTAAGAGCAATATGTGATTATTAAGATCTCTCATTATAGCAAAAAATTTAAATAATTCAGTTAATTAACTTCTTTATTATGTAGAGGGGGATAAGGAATGAAGGAAAGAAGATATAAATCATCTAATAAACTCCTAATAATAATATTTCATAGAACAATTCAATTTTTTTGATAATTGAATATTGCCTAGTAAAATACGTAAAGTATTGTTGATAATTTTAATATTTCTGCTAATAAATACAAAGATAAAATAGAACGAGATTTTATCTCAACTGAATAAAGATATATGTTGCTGCATTAACAATATAAAGGCAACATCATTCATAATTCCACATGTAGATCACAAAATCGAACTTTAGTAAGGAAGATCAGTGTTGATAAGGAGGCGCTTGTCGGGTCCTAAGTAAGATGAAGCTTCGCATAATCCGATATGTGGAGAATTCCATGCTCCGTGGATGCGACATGCAAGCTGGCGCCGCACGCGCGTGGATTAATTTTAAAATTATGCAGCTCAGTTATTTGAGTGCTGCATGCGGCCGCGGGATCGCCACTAGTTCCTAGCATTCCAAACCAGAATTCATTCCCTGTAAAAACAACATCATTGTCTTGAAGAGAGAGATGTTGATAAAGATATCTCATAAATAAATCTCAGAGAACGTCAGACACCGATTTTTCTCAAACTTTTATAGTTATTTCTTTAAAGTAACAAAATTTGTCGTTAATTAAAAAATTTTAAGAGAAATTCTTTTGTATTTGACATGTTTAAAGCAGTATATTTTTTCTTAAGAATAAATTTATACTCGATTATTTAAAGTTCGACACATATATAGAAAATCAAAATAATAGTTAATAATAGTAAAAAAACGGTTCCCCTGGCAAAAAATATATACTGCTTTAAACATAAAATCGGGTATTAATAAAAAATTTGTTTTAATTGAAAGACTCAATTTAAGCTAAAATTAAATACAGATTTCTTCATCTTTGACAAAAAACAGCTATAAAAAATTTGAAAAAATTGGCATCTGATGTCACCTGAAATTTATTTACATCAATATAACTGACATTAAATAAACGAACACTTATTTTTAGATAAATAAATAAATAATGGAATAAAAATATATTTAAACCTGGTAATGTATTTCCATCGCTAGCATAAGTTACAACGAGGAGTTTACTTGAGTCTTCGGTTCGGGACAGTCTGCTATGTGGTTCTCTCAGACCAAAATGTATTTTTATATCTAAAAATAATTATTGTGGTGTATAAAGGTTGTAAGCATATTTATATTTATCCATTTATCAAATACTAACCACCCAGATAATTTCCGTTTCCCGCATTACCGCATTTCTGTTGTTGGAAATAAGCAAACATAATGTCAGAAACGTATTTGAGCTTCTTGTTCATCTTTTTGATGGCGATCTCAAATGTTTTCAAGAAGTAGACTTCTTGATCCTCAATTATTTTCCAGACACCTGTTAATAATTATATATTAATAAATAATTAAAGAGAACAGTACGAAAAATAATTTTAATAATTTGTTGTATATAATATTTAAGTTTTTAGTTTTATAACGCTTAACATTATAACATTTAATTTTAATCTTATAAGCTTTAAGGGTCGACAGGAGTGACTGGCCAAGTCCGATTTGACTTTGGAAACCTCACGTGATAGGACCTTGAAGCTCTGGATTCAAGGCTGCCAACTTCAGATAATATAATCTCCATTTTCTTATGGTTGTGTATTCATATAAGAACACTAATATGATTCCTGTCGAGAGCGAACGAGACAGCGAAAGAGAGCAAGAGCCCAATGTTCTCACTCTGGTCGCTGTACAAGCGACCGAAGACCGAAAATGCTTTCTCAGCGATCTCGGTGATAACATATAAGTTTTAATACATTTTAGTAATCATATATCTTTTGCATTAATGTATAATAGCAAAAATGATTTTAAAATGTAATAGTTTATGAGATATTAATTATTTACGTTTTTTATGGGCGTTATATACTGCGTTTATAAACATAGTCTGTAAGAATTCCATGTGGTCGTATGCGTAAGGTGTGAGATCAGTATGCTGAAGATCCCACGTTCTAATCCTACGTTTTTTCTTTTTTACATATTTTTTCTGAAATAAAATTATTAATTCGTTCTCGGTCTCTCTCGGCACACCGAAGGCGAGAATTGTCAATGCCATTAAGAAAGACAAGGAAACCTATTATCTTTTTTTGTTCAACTCAATGTGAAGAATTTCTCTATGATTAGCAATCAGTTGTAGCAGAACATGCAGTTCTGGTGACCTAGGTTATGCTCATTTTTTTTCTCGAATAAATAATATTTTCTTATGAAACCTGTTGGGATTTCTTTGTTATATTGCTGGGAAGGCTCGTAACAGAGCCAGATTTTACAAATTGATTCTTGAATATTTTTATTAATAAGATCATGTACACCTCAATTGTACTATAGTATACATCGAATGAGATATCAGAACAAATTTTTATTTTTCTCTGCGGTGATCCATATCAGCGAGCATACACTTTAAGCGATACACAATGTCTGTCTTGTATTTCTGCGTTTCACTTGTTTTTATATATCACAATAGCCTTTTTTATACTTGTATGGACACGCTTTTTTGCACAATTTATATATGTTTTTGAACTTTTCCAAGAGACATGATACACTTACGACTGTGTAATTGTACGTGAATATTGTCGAGTTACATCAAGACTCACCCCGACCCGAATTGGGCTTACGTTGTATTTGCGAACTTTTATTGCGGTTACTCTTTTTTTCCGAAGTATTTGTCTGAAGAGGGCTCAATCTTGCAGCCGAAACTTGTAACGAAATTTTTTATTTAGTTCTTACCTTTTATTATTTTTTATGTATCTTTTATTTTATTATATACTTTCTTCGATTTTGTTTTTCTTTATTTGAATTTTCTTTTAATTAGATGATTACTTTTTAAAAACGAAAGGTGCTGACTCTTACTTTGCCCTTTATTTATTGTTATTTATTTTTCTCTTTTTACAAAAAAATCGTTCTGTATGAGCCTTCAGGAGTCTTTCCTGATTACGAATATCGCAATTAAAACGCGATTCATCCAGTATTTTTAGCCGTAATTTTGATATAAAAATTCATCTTCGACTAGAGGTCTCCACGGGTCTTTCCTGTCGAACCTTAACAATAAATGCTTCACACTAACCGAGACCAAAACCAACTACGTGTAAGAAAGCGGTGGTGTTTTGCTTCTCAGCGCGGCTGTTTGCTTCGAGTAGTATTATCTCTACAGAGAGCAGGGTTCTCTTCATGTAATTCTCGATATCGAAGATTAACTTATTCCTGAATGATATATACCGCCTGTTCTCTTTCGATTTCATATTTTTCACGGTTTCATCATAGAGCGGGTGATAATCCTCGCCATAAAATTTGGCCCATAAAACACGCATCCCGCGTTTTTCTTCAAATGTGCCATCCATCGCGGATCCATATCTATTTCGCATAGATTGATTTTTAAAAAAAGGTTTATTTGTATACTACAAAAGGACTAGAGAGTGGTGTACATTATAATGTAATTTAATTCGGTTATTAATCTATTATTATCTTATCACAAATACAAATTGCATATGCAACAAATTTGGATAGAAACGATGTATGTATACATCTTATTAATTAAAATCTTTACTATTATTAAGAGAGAAAGAATTTAAAAAATTAACTATAGATATTATTGAAACATTGATGTGGCTACCGGTTTCGCCAGACCGCCGTTTGATTCTACAATATGTCGCCACCGTCAACGCAGAGCTGAGTAGTCAGGAACCTTAAAAAACTTTTTTTTCTGTGTATCTCTCTCTCTCTCTCTCTCTCGCTCAATTAATTTATACTTAATTAACAATCATTACGGAAAGTTACTGCTTACCCATTATCTATATTGTTCTGCTGTGGCGTAATGGCAATATCCTGATACTCCATATATTTTTTGAATCTACATGACAAATTAAATGGTACGAGTGGCTCAAATTTAATGATAACATAGCAACTTTACAACGACAAATTCTAATATTTACAAAAGAGAGTAGTATTATACTAAAAATAAAAAAGTGTATTAAAAATGACTAATTGTTTATAATTTCAACAATTTTTTAACCGCGAAAATTTTACAGCTATAAATAACCATATGTAAACGAGATAAAAATAAAACACGCATCTACAGGCTCGACAGCATTGTTACGGAGAGTTTGCACGTATAAAAATATTTCTGAAGAAGGAAGGATTAAATTAACGCATAGAACCTTGTGCCTACGACACTCATAATAATCCCTCTGGGTTGGACGGTGTCTGGGTCACAGCTCACGATACCTCTATTATTTCGTGAACCATCGTTTATGAACTCCGTATGAGACGACACCACCATCATTGCTGACAGTTTAATCTCATCACAGCTCAAGCATTTTGTTAGGACCTATTCATGAGATTTTAAAACTTATTAAAGTATTGTGACGTCAAAGAAGGTGACGTACAAAAGAAGGTGATGCTATAAAACTTTATCTTGTTTTTAACATCCAATAAACTTCCAATATCGATAAATGATTAATATACGTAACATTACATTAATCCGTAAGTAATTTAATAGCCTATAGCTATACTGTAAACTTATAAAATAAAAGAGTAAAAAGAAAAGAATAAAAATAGAAATTTTTATGGAAATAAGAAAATTGCGAAAAACACTTCTCTACTTCGTTATTTAAATATATATGTAACTACTTTTGTGATAATATAAAAAGAACAGTTATATATTTTTGCTTTTATTTATTGAAAGCCAAAGTTTTTATTTATCTAGCCAATGTTTGGTATTACTTGTGCCACCGGAAAAGAATTTAAATTTTAAAATAAATCAACATTAAAGTATATGTATTTTCTCTATATTAAGTTTTATTATTACCTTATCCTCTCTCTCTCTCTCTCTCTTTTTCTCTCTCTTTTGTTTTTGTTAGATAATTTAACTATAATAATTATTTTTTATAAAGTATATTGCTTGATTAGGACGGCGCCATGTATTTACCAGTGGTTCCTTCTCCTGATCGGTGCCAACACTCTCCCAGGCACCAAATCCACTCTTATAATCAAGTAATTGCCATCGATCTCTAGCTCCATAAAAGGAGGCCACTCTCTTATCTAACAGGCGATGGATGAATTGGATTAGGTCCATGTCCGCATACATGGCTTTCTCAACAGGGCTACCATACAATCGCTTGTATTTCAACCATCGCGCAATCAAGGGCAACATCGCTTCGTGTATCAGTGGATATACCGAATTTGCATTTAACTAAAAAATGTCATCAAAGATCATCAAATATGTATTAAATTAGCCGAAATTATTAAACATTAAAATAAAAAATGATAAAAAAAAATATTTCAGTTTCGAGGACAGAATTATAATCTTTAAACTGTATATTCTTGTAAAGAATTTCTAAAGATTTCTAACGAAACAAATAAATTTTTAATAATAAAAGTTTCAAACGATTTCTCTCTTAAATATTTAACAAATATTTAAAAGAAGTATTAATTAAAATAGAAATATTATTTAAGCGTTTGTTCCTTTTGTCTGACCATGTATACTAATCGCTCGAGCAAATAACTTATTTTATACAAACCTCAATAAAATCCGTGCTGATTCCCCTGTCCTTCAAAGCGGCGCATTTTACAGTGTTAATTGGAAACATCAAGGGAAACGCATTGCTTCGTCTGATTAGCTCTGTTATGTTAATTGATGGCGATACGGAGACATCGAGACACTTCCTCAGTAACTCCTTTATGTCATCATCGAAGGGCACGCCATTGGGCGAACCCAGTGTGTAATCCCATGAGATCTCTGGCGGATCTTTCGCTAGCATCTGTTGTAGTGTCTCTTCTGCAGCTCGATTATTCTGTGAAAGGATGCGAAGATATGTAACTAATTCTCAAAATGTAAAATATACCGCTGGTACTAAATTTTCGATTTAATTTAAAAATTCCACAAAAAAATGCTAGTTTGATATTGAATAGATGATTTAATTCCCAGTAAAAAAAATTACATAATAAATAAACGCTTAGCATGTTTCCTTGAAGAGTTAAGCCTATTCTACAATGTGCTCTTTGTTTCCTGTTTCTTGCTTTTTACCTTTTACTTTTTTCTCCTTTGCAACCGTTTTATCGATAATTGTATTTCTTGCTATGTATTTCTTATTTTTTTCAAAGTTCGTTATCTTTTATCTCAGGCGATAAAGACAAAAAACCGGATAAGAAGCAAAAAGACAAAATGTAAAAAATAGCAAAAAGCAGAAAACAAAAAGCATATTGTAGAATAGACTTTACTGTAGAAAATTATTGCGTATCATGTTTTCCGCATCATGTTGCGTCATGGAAAAATTTCAATATATCTATCGCAAAAATAAATGAGAAAACAATTAGATAAGACACATTTGGAGAACGTGAGTCATTTTGTCTTTGTTTTATGTCTAATAAACGGTGTAAAAACAGAATAACGCTCTCCGAATGTGTTATTATATCTATATATTCAGAAATTTTTGTTAAAAAAATATAAGCAAATAATTTGTTCATCTGCTAAGATATTTTAGAAGTAATTTGTTTACTGCGATATTGAGCAACTTTACATTCGTGCGGACTCGACATATTACCAATAAAGGGCTACAAAATCAATTCTAAGAAAAATTGTGCAAAACAGTGAATCGCCGCGTCATTCTATTAATACAACCCCCTGCTGATTACAGCAAGGACGCCGATCGCTTTGACACTCGAGCATGAAATCTATTAAATAACGTAAAATGTATCATCCGAGCGACTTCGTTCACTCTCTTCGTGGGCGCGGCCACATGAATAAACACATGGATATATACGTACATATTAACAAAATTTGTGTCCAGGGGCTTATGAAGCCCTCTTTAGGGGCTTATCTAAGCGCCCTCCCCCCCTCCCCCTCTAGGGCACTACTTCCGTGATTTTCTGATCTTTTTTGGGGGGATAGTGACGTCACAATTTTCCATGACAGAAATGATAGAACCGGTAATGTCGGCGTTACAAAAATCACTTTTCAAAAATAACGTATAATGATTACCGACTTCTTTTTAAAAACCGATTATCCCAACTCTTTATTGCTACCATCATGAACACAATATTGCTACGTCATTACCACATCATTCTTACAGTACTACAGGGCTTACAGTTACTACTCTATTAACAAATTTCGTTATCGTTGTTCTACAGCTTTTTCATCATAGTAAAAAAATTTTACAGAGTTATAACGGTAACGAAATTTGCGTTAAGAGTTACAGAATAGATCTACTAATAAGTTTAGGATTTTTATCTATTCAACTACTACGATACATTTAGGAACAGGAACAATCGTTATTATAAAACAGTTCTTGGATTTACATTTATTTAACTATTTAATTATTACTATAGACTTACAAGAAAGACACATTGTTACAAAGACACATTGTTTGCAAATACAGAATATTTTGTTATAAAATAACTTTACGGCTTTTTTTTGCGAAAACGTTTTTATTACATCATCAAAGTCTATTTTGGCTAAAAGCTCCGATTTAATGTTAAAAATTGACAGGTTATTTAGTTTTCCCTGGTCTAATGTTGACCTGCAAGCGTTTTTCACTCTTTTTAATGCCGAAAATGACCGTTCACCGTTACTGTTCGTAACAGTTAGACAGAAATATATCCTTATTGCCACTTCGACATTTGGGAAAGTAGCTTCAATTTTATTGTATTACTTTCAAATATGATACTGGAAATGGAATATCGAAATGAAATTTTTCATTCTAGATAAAATATCTAAATTGAATATCTTCGATGAACTCGTCTTCTAGATTGCAATTGTATATTTTTACTAAATTTTTTGCGCTCATTACCAAATTCAGAATAGAATTGTAGCTTATTTAGAAATCCAAATGTTCCGAATGATGCTTATAGCTTGCCGCTCTTTTCTAAGTTAAATTCTGTTAATGCAATGTTAATTCCTTACTATACAGTAAAGAACATGCAATATAATTTACTTAACTCTAGTGAAATACATTATTTATATAAAAAATTTTGTATGCATCATTTATATGAAAGATTTGATATCGACAACTGGCACCAAATTAAATTCTATTATCTTCTTATTTCAACCACCCAAAAAAAAAGTAAAAATAATTTTAATTTTTGTTAAAAAATATTTTCATTGAATACAGATGACCATCGACATATCACTATTATAAGACGATAGGGGTGATGGTGGGATTTTTTAAATCTATTTTGGATTAATTATTTACAATTGCAAACACACATTATAGATTTTTTAAATCTACTTTAGGATTAATTATTTACAATTGCAATCATTATAGATTGAGATTAATTTATATATCTAAAACATAAGTGATGTGTCGAAAAAAAATGTTA